TTTGGCACTGTAGGCCAGCCGATGAAAGGGACACAGTCGAATATTGTCAGTTGTGGGAAAGCAGTGCGGGCTAATTCAGATACCCAGAAAGAAGATATAGTGGAAGTTCCAAACCGCTTTCCTAGCCCCAGAAGCTGCACCAAAATCAATCTGCTGTGTTGATATGAATGTATAAGGGGAACCTCCAAATATCATTTATGTGAGGATAGCGGTGCTAGTGCAATTTCGGTCCAAATATAAATAAGAAAAACCAATTTTGTCCCCCAGTTAACATAATTAAAAGTACAGGTAAGCCTTGCTTGGATCTTACGCTGAGTGAGAATTGACAATGTTATGCCTTCTACCGCCATTAGGCAAATTTTTTTGCCAAGATGTAAAGGAGGACCGAAAAATCATACCTCAATTGCGCCAAATTTGCCCACTTGAACTTTTTGCTCGCCTTCCACATGGCAAGCCATTGAATTGAGCAGGAAAACTACGATTCGTTGAGTCAGATGATCGCCGTTGTGTTTCTGCAGCACCGCAACAAGCATACGAGCCACACGGCCATAATCGAACAAAATTTCCACCGGTATTTCGAATTGACAAAGTGAGAGGCAGCAATTACGAACCATTACCTGCAAAAAAAAGCAAAAATCAACATCTTTTTCGTAAACTTTCCAAAAAAATCTTCAGAAAAAAGAAAAAATACACAATGCTCTCATCAATGTGTTTGCAAGAGGTAATATGTTTTCGGCAGAATATATCCTCTACAGCCAACTAGAGATTTTTGACTTTTGAGATTTATGCTGATGATGGAAAAGTTGCGAGATTGTATTTTTTGAAAAAAGTGCTGAGATTGTGCTGAAGGTGAGAAAGTTGCGAGATCGCATCTGTTGATAAAATATCAAATATTCTGCACAATATGAAGTTTTTTTTACATTCCCAGTGATTAAATCACGAATACCAGACTAGTATAGTGATATGCGAAATTTTCTTAAGTATAAAAAGGGGAGGGGGAATCGTTCTCAGCGAAAGCCCCCTCAAGGACAAGAGGAAAGGTATCATAAAAATTTCAAATTCTCGTCTTTGCCTATGTGCCAATAACTAAAGCATAAAGTAACATAAAGATTCATTATTTCCACAACATTTTTAAGCCTTAACATAACGGATGGGGTGGAGGGCCGTCTGCTTTGTTTCTCTTCGTAAATCAGACTGTTATGTGAATTCGCACGACAGGCTAACAAAATCACAGAGGAACTGAGTTATAAGTGAGGTAAGATGTAATAATGATAATGATAATAACAATAATAATAACAACAACAATAACAGTAACAATAATAACAACCTGTTCTTTTACGTAAAGATGAGGCATTTTCCACCCTACAAACAAATGACGGGGTCTGCTATGCTCCTCTACACAAGTCATATTGCTATGTGATTTGTACGACATGCCAACAACATTCCAGAAGAACTGAGTCATAAATGAGGCAAGTGAGGTAATAATAATAATAATAATAACCTGCTCTTCGACGTGAGCATCCATTCCGTTGAGCAGTACTGTGACAACTTTTCGTTTTGTATCCCTGTTCATGTTCACTTTGCGAATCAAGTAGAACAATGAGGCTGATCCAGCAATTTGCAATGTGCTGTCCTGTAGATGTTGCTGCATTGCACGTAACACAAGATGCAGGGCATCTTTATGTCGAGACTGAAAAAAAAAATCGGTTGAAATCAGTCGTCAGACCTGAAGACAGTTGAAAATGGTTCACTATTAAGTTCCCAAAGTTTCAGCCCTACAGCTTTTATAGGTCCTGAGATGAAAAATCGGGGCAGACGCACACATAGACAACCCCTCGTCAATATGCGTTCTTGCATTGCATAGCTGCAAAAAACGTACAAAAATGAATGCTAAACAAAACAAGAGAAATTGGTTAAAATTCATACCAAGTTGTGGTTAAATCGATAAAGCTGATAACTTTCGTTAAGAACTCCTTGCAAAAGACCTGGACGTTCAGTGTACATTTCAAGTGCAAGTAAAATCTGATCCTCATTCCTATCACCAGCAACCTGAAACAACAACAAAAAAAAAATCGTCATCATCATCATAATCAACTGATCCGAAAACAATCAGAAATGATTCAAAAATTCCCATCCCATCGTGATACGACGACAATCTTTAAGGATCTACAACCCAAACTGGCCGAAAGGTCTCACACAGGTGTTCCTGTTTATTCCAGGCAATGCCTGATCTCGATAACAAGAGCTCTAATAGTTTTGATGACCGAGAAATCCCAGTAAACTGTGGTTTATTTTTAGTTCTCTTTCTGTTGCTAGGAAACATTCGCTTAAAATTTATTATCAGCGCGCAGCAACTGTAATTATCCAGTTTTGAAATAGTAGAATAGAGCGACTGGAATTAAGTGTCATGTGTAAGATATTTTACTATGCAGTCTGTCTGTTTTTCATCCCTTAGCTGTAAAAACTGACCGAACTGGGAATCACCAGTACAGCTCCTATCCGTCATGTATTGAACACTCATGTAACTAATTTGCAAGACAGATATAAGAAATAGAGAGCAATCAAAGAGAGAAAACAAACAGAGTGAGAGAGGAGAGAAAGAAGAGGAAGTTAACCGATGATACGGGCAATCATTATGTGTCAATTATGAAGGAACGCTTTTTATGAGAATAATAGCGTGCTAAACAGGCGTTAAATATATTTACTGGATGAGAATATCAATACTATGGCTGCCAGGCCTTCCTGGCAATTCTCGAAAATCCCATGTAAGTGATGTTACTGGGATGAACCCACATGCTCCGCGCAGCTATACCAGGTCTTTCAATCCTAGGCTGCATATTTTCAATTAGTACCTGGCACCTGCTTGATTCCTGTGTGATGACTGAAACAATTTTTGCTGGGAAAAAAAGAAATAGTTAAAAATTTTATGTGAAAACAAAAAAAAGCTCACCGCTAGTGCAGGAATTTCGGCGAAATGTGAAGCATTATCACAATTGAACAAGCCTAAATAATCGAGTGGTTCTCTCAGACAACGTAATCCATAAATATCGGATCTGATTGTGGCAACCCTGCAACACACACACACATAATTAATTTAGCGCAAAATCCTCAGAAATGCCATCCCACACTACCATGAAACCACTGGTGAATCCAGGGGGAAGGGAATGGGTCTTTCTCTCCCCTCTCCCTCACTTCCCTCAGCGGCACAAGTAGCAGCGCTAAAACTGAAGAAAACTCTCTTCCGCACCCCCCGATGGTCCCCTCCCCCTCCTTCTCCCAAAAGATCGTCCTGGATCCACCTATTCATAAAACAACCTTTAGTAAAATCAGCCCGGACAGCAACTATTAAAACTCGGCTTAGTTGCGCAATGTTAACTCATTTTGGGATCGGATTCGAGGTGCAGAATTTGTGCTACGTGGTTTTTTTGGTGTAAGTAAGTTTTTAGGCATAACATGCAAGACTGCTAACTTCCCCTCAGCATGAAGTTTCAGGGCTGGGCATGAAAAACCTACATAAACCCTTTCCCTCAAAAACCATGTCCCCTGTTTCAAATCCCTACCTCCAAACAGGTTCTCAGTTCTTTTCCAGTCAGTAACCTGGCCCCTTTCATTTTTTACGATCCTCGAGATCTAAATCACCGCCCCGGCTATCACCCTTCTCCTTGTTTCCAGCCCTCTATCCACACAATCAGGTTTTTTCTTTACAATTAGCCTTATGACTAGTCGAGCCGAATTCCCATAGCTACAGATCAAAAAATATTCCAATTTCGATACAAAAAGAATTCAAACGCTAAAGCTGAGTTTTAATTTGTTAGATTTTACCCGTTTGAAGGTCGGTCGGATGCAGTTGGCGGTGAAGCGAGATTTGTCGATGAAATATCAAGATATGTAAGTTTACGAAGACATGTAGCGATCCGATGCAATGCTGTCACCGGACGTGGATAGGTACCCGTTTCTTTTGAGCTTTGCGATAAATCCAAATGACTGAAGTTAAAAAAAGAGAATATAACTTGTACAGATCCGATAACAAGATAATTTGGGGTAATGACTCAAATTTTCCGCTTAAATCACAAAAAAAAAATGAAAATTTCGTTTTTTTTCAAACAATTTGACAAGATTAACAAAGAAAAACTTAAATTTTCAGCTTAAATCACCAAAAAAAAAAGAAAACTGTTTTATTCGAAAATTATGTTTTTTTTTTAAATTTATTCTTTTTTCAACGATTTGATCCTCACTCGAAATTAAAAAGTACCTGAGAGTGGAAATTTGTACAATAGTGTCCAGTGCATGATACAAATCAGGTACATCGTAGAGAATAAGTGTTGAAAGTTTGTGCGGTGATAAACAGTGCAAAT